ATATATAAGATTGTAAGAGATGAAAATGCAAGTTGCGCGTGCGCGCTATAGTCTCGCTAAAATGTACCGGTCTATCTGTTTTATATCGATCTTAGCCTTGGAATGGGTGTTAAGAGACTTGAAAAATAGGGTGTCTTCAATCTAATGGCTCATTATTCTGAATTAAGCGTTTAATACTTCCTTTAAAGGGTAATACCACTGATGAGACACTCTTTTTGTTCTTTTCAATGTGCTCATTCTCAGGAAACTGCAAGATGTAATCACTCTCGAAAGAAATGTCTAAAAGTCATGTTTTAAATGTTAAGAGTGAAGAAAGGCAACTTATAGATGCATAAAGCAGACAGTCGTCAAGATTTTGAAGTGTAGCAAGAGAAAGTGTATATGTGCTATCATTTTGTATACTAATTTTTAGTCAGTCCAATGTTTACTGTTTAGCAAAACAGAATTCTAAATTTTCTATGTGTCCATTATCGTGGAAGTATTGACACGCATATTGTTGCTATATTTCTAAAAAATATCCATCGGTTACAAATTCGACAATTCGACTTTTAGAAACGAAAATGTGGTAGACCACCACGACCCCCTTACCCTTCTAGCTACATGGATTGCCAAAAAAAGACACCGTGTTTTAGTGCCTTTGGGGTATGAATTCGAAGAGGGGGGAGATTTCAGTAATACTGTATCAAGCGCCCGTGCTTTTAGCGTAATATTTCATTCTGATTCAAATACATCTTGCCAAATGATTATGATCGCTAATTTCGTTTGGTGCACATACTAAGCTCTGGGTTTTAAATACATACAGATTGGATTACGAAATTTCTGATGTTGAAATACGACTGTGGTTGATATTTATATAAAAAATACCAACTGGCATTTTACCATATTTTGGGGAAATATGAATTCAGTTTGAGTTTTACCATATATGGTTCTACATTGTCACAGTATACCATATTTGGATGGGAAATCAGCAAAGCATTTTATTTACAGACTGTTTTTTCTTTATTGATTGAAATGGCACTCTTAAGATAAAGTAATTCCTGGTATTATCAAACTAATTCTCCTCTCTCACATTAAGATCCCGCGAGATACGCCGGAAACCTTCTATTAACGAATCAGCTTGTATTAGTTTTGTAGTATTAGTCACCCTTAGTGACTGATTTGGTTATGTTTCCGTACATACATCGTATGTCATCACGAAAAATCACATTTTCAACGCCTCTGACAGTCGAAATTACTAATATTTATTCTGTGCTAATTTGAATTATAAAAAATGACGCCATTCGGAATACAGCTTTGACTTAACCGGTTTGGCGGTTTGGGGGCTGTCGAGTTGCGTCAATGGGTTTTATTAAAACGCAGCGTCTTAGACTGGCCATCGTAACCCCGGGGATCGCGGTGTCTACACTCACACCCCTCCCGGCGATGACCAGTCTAACAGACAAGCTTATGCCATCTAACCAACCGCACACGCCTTGTTTTGTTACTTTATTTGGAGAGGGACCCAGGACATTAATGTTATGTTTTTGAATTAAAACTTGGTTAATGGGATTGGTCAATCGACCATTATGTTACGCCTTTGCACATCCATTCAGATCCGCCCACCTTGCTTACCACACGTTCTAGTTTATGATTTCGATCTGCAAGTCAACACACAACATACAAGCATCTTAACTTTATACAAAACCGTTCATATCAAGTTCTCTTCACTGTTTGGCGTTCTTCACCCACCCACCTTCTCCCCCTTTTTATCGCACTTTGAAAAAGTGCTATATTGTCGTCATCTTGTGCTGTTGGGCGGGCGTTTGGGCGTGCGGGCGTGCGGGCGGGCGGGACATAAACTAAATCTTGTCATCAAATTTCCAGGATAACTGCTTACCTGTTCAACTTGAAATTTTTACAGATGCAAGAGCAGACTAGTACCAAGATCTGATTAGGTTAAGGGCATGCTGGGTAAACTATGTGGCGGCCATTTTGAATTTTTCAACAAATCTTGTCATCAAAATTCCAGGAAAACCACTTATCCGTTCAACTTGAAATTTTTACAGATGCAAGAGCAGACTATTGCCAAGATCTGATTAGGTTTTGGGTATGCTGGCTGAATTACATGGTGGCCATTTTGAATTTTTGAATTTGGCGGCCATTTTGAATTTTTCAACTTGCTCCAAATTGACCAAATTTTTTTTTTAAAAACATCTACAAGTTCTCAGAAGTTCAAATCTGACCTTAGATTTCAGATTTGACCTTTCATTCACCTTCAGTGACCTTGAAAAGGTCAAAAAAGTTGATTTTCTAAATTGATATTTTGGATTTAAATTTAGGTCAGCTTAATTACAAAACACCTACTGAGGTCTGAAAAAGTGAAATTTTAAAGGTCGAAAGTCAAGGTCATTAAACTAGGTCACAAATGATGTTATCCAAGTTTCTCAAAGTTTGAGACTACAAATCAATTCTTGTCATCAAAATTCCAAGAAAACCGCTAACCTGTTCAACTTGAAATTTTTACACATGCAATAGCAGACTAGTGCCAAGATCTGATTAGGTTAAGGGCATGCTGGGTAAACTACGTGGTGGCCATTTTGAATTTTTCAACAAATCTTGTCATCAAAATTCCAGGAAAACCACTTATCCGTTCAACTTGAAATTTTTACAGATGCAAGAACAGACTATTGCCAAGATCTGATTAGGTTTTGGGTATGCTGGCTGAATTACATGGTGGCCATTTTGAATTTTTCAATTTGGCGGCCATTTTGAATTTTTCAACTTGCTCCAAGTTGACCAAATTTTTTTTTTAAAAACATCTACAAGTTCTCAGAAGTTCAAATCTGACCTTAGATTTCAGATTTGACCTTTCGTTGACCTTCAGTGGCCTTGAAAAGGTCAAAAATTTGATTTTCTAAATTGATATTTTGGATTTAAATTTAGGTCAGCTAATTACAAAAGACCTACTGAGGTCTGAAAAAGTGAAATTTTCAAGGTCGAAGGTCATCAAATTAGGTCACAAACAATGTTATCTAAATTTTCCCAAAGTTCAAGACTACAAATAAATTCTTGTCATCAAAATTGCAGGAAAACCGCTAACCTTGTCAACTTGAAATGTTTACAGATGGAAGAGCAGACTAGTGCCAAGGTCTGATTAGGTTTTGGCCATGCTGGGTAAATTGCATGGTGGCCAGTTTGCTCTTCAAAGTGCGATATTTATCACTGTGTGTCTTGTTCTTATCTTTTTTTCTTCGTTTTTCTAAACAGTTTCATTTTATTTTATTCATCTTTTCTTATGCTACACCATCAGCCTTATCCACGAGGGGCAAGAATTTCATGTCAAAACAGGCCTACCCCAAAAGAGTGCCTTGCTTCTTGTTGCCTGCACAGCTCGCATGCCTGCCTGAAACACTGGTGCATGTTACAAACCTCACATGCCTGCCTGAAACACTGGTGCATGTTTTAGTTTTGTTTGTCATACTTCAAATGCCTGCCTGAAACACTGGTGCATTTTACAAACTTCACACGCCTGCCGGAAACACTGGTGCATAAAATAAATCGGTGGCGGGGGCTGTCGAGTTGCGTCAATGGGTTTTATTAAAACGCAGCGTCTTAGACTGACCATCGTAACCCCGGGGATCGCGGTGTCTACACTCACACCCCTCCCGGCGATGACCAGTCTAACAGACAAGCTTATGCCATCTAACCAACCGCACACGCCTTGTTTTGTTACTTTATTGGGAGAGGGACCCAGGACATTAATAACAGAATAACAGGAGAACGCATTTCTTATCCTAGGGACTAATAAATGTAATTCAAAGTGACACGAAAATTATAAACGTTTCCGTAGTTTTTACGGGTTTGTAATGATATCTATAAATTACTAAAGCAATACCCGGGATTATTGTTTAATAACGTTTCGTTTAGTGTATACATCCGGGTATCAAATTAGAGTAAACGCCATTTTGAACCAAAGCGTTGCATGGTGGTAATTGACTCGGAAGAACATCGTACACGAACGCCATTACTCTAGTAATACTAGAGCCCGTTATTAGAGGAGGAGAAGTTCAAGAGGAGTATATTTCCCAGAGGCCATACATGTAGACACAGGCATTGTTCCTCTTCGATGACCCCACTGATGTTTTTCATAATCTAAATTCAGAATGATCCTTGTTATTGGCCTATTATTATTTGTATGTAAAATGGTGAGCATTGAGGCAAGTATAGGCTACCACAGTCGTTCAGAATTGAAATGTTGAAGTCCATTGTTATATTATCATGAAATAAATAAATAAATAAATAAAAAAAATAAGAGGCATTTTAAAAAAATTCTCAATGGCAGTTGCTCGAGGGGGGCAGTTGATGATAAAGTTGGCAATAAAGTCCAGAACAGCTTTTTAATATGACTAGCAATACACACTTTCAATGTCAAGTCAACGTGCCACAATGAGCACCGAGGGGGGCAGTTGATACGGAAATGTTGTCTCATACAATTCTAAATAAAGTCCAGAACAGCTTTTTAATATGACTAGCAATACACACTTTCAATGTCAAGTCAACGTGCCACAATGAGCACTGAGCAGAACCCTCATAGTTGACGGTAATATGACCGATCTTGTCATGGTAAGGTTAGGCCGATTATTCAATTGCTTAATGTTTCTATTCAAAGCCCATGATGTTATATTGTTAATCCATTAGCCATGTTGTCTATGCGCTTTTATCTTATCTTTAGAATGGACAAATGTCACAACTGACATGTCTCGCCGACAGAGTGACAAATGACGATACCTGCAAAATCTGACAAGACTAGTCCATATCTGTGCAATAGAGAAAGCACAGTAAACAGCAGTCACAAGAGGGACATTATCATCAATTCATAATGTCCTTCTTATGCTAGTTGTAGGGACAAGTTGCAAAGAATTCCATCCCCTCAAGAAAAATGATGACTTTTTCGAATCAGTCTACTCATATAAGCCATACAAAGAAAAGTGATACAAATGCAATGGGTGCTGGAAACTTACCTGCTTCTGTAAGAACCATGGTCTCGTCGAAGTACTCCTCTCTCATCTGATACCTGTATTCTCGTCCACGTCTTGGCCCGAAAAATACTTTTGATCTTCCAACGATCCGGACTGTGATTACTGAAAACATAGAGGTCTGTGATTACTCAAAATAGAAGTCTGTGTTACTGATAAGGGGAGGTCTGTGATTACTGGAAATATAGAGGTCTAGAGATTACTAAAAATAGAAGTCTGTGTTACTGATAATAGAGGTGTGTGATTACCTGAAAATATAGAGGTCTAGAGATTACTCAAAATAGAAGTCTGTGTTACTGAGGTGTGTGATTAATCGAAATAGAGGATTGTGTTTACAGGAAATGAGGACTGAAAAAACGAAATAAATGACAGGTTACAAAACGTGAAGAACTATTTTATCTGAAAATTGAAGACTACAAGAAACGTAACGTTGAACTGTGATAATCTTTTCTGATTCTGGGGAGCAAGCATACATACAGACTGAACATACTACTGGGGTGTACGTGGTTTTTGTATTGTGTAAATTCCTGTGTTATATTTTTAATATTTACTATGCCGCTAATGTTATTAAGTTAACAAAGGCATACTTTTGAAATTATATCAATACCTAGGAATTATAAATAAATTGAAATTGAAAAAAAAATATTTCTGATATATAGATTTATATTCATCCATCATTCTCACTTGCGTCTTTCAAGTTATACAGGAGAGTTTAAGCTAGTATATAAAATCGAAATGGCAACGTATACGTAATTCCCCATATACAAATACATGTAGTCACTTAAATAGCCGTTCGATCCAGAAGCACTCCATGCCGAAAACACATTGCACCCGTGCCATACGTGCTAAGATGTGTAGCACGTGCTAAGATGTGTAGCACGTGTTTGAATTTCTATTGAACCCGGGTTTGAGGTTCGAAATCCAAACAATAGACGCTCCTAACCCGTGCTGTAAATCCAACCAATCAGAGCGCTCCTAGCCCGTGCTATTTTTGGGAGCAATTATTATGGCATACTGACTGGCCGAAATTCAATATTGTTGTACCCTCACGTGGTAAACTCAGTGGAGGTTTTGTACTCAGTTTGTAGTCAAGATAGCAGATTTGAAGGTAAGAAGTTGCTCAAAGTAAACTAGACTAAACGAGGATCAAACATGATAATGTTTTTGACAGATAAATTCCACATAAACTCGTGAATTTCCCGTAATAGTGAGCAGATCTCTCTATTATCGCCCATTTCAGTGTTTTATTTGCAATAATAATTGAAAAATATATTCCTATTGTACATAAATGACATTTGTTTAACCTGCAAAAAGATAACATCGCTTACAAATTCTTAAATTAAAAGAGGACACAGGCTTACTGCACAAAAAACTAAGAAGACTAGAGTCCATTTCACTGCTTCATTTCGTCAGTAGAACGGCAAAAATAAGAAATTGAGAGACCATTGTGCAATAATATATGGAAAAGTATATTCATAATGTACATGAATGACATTTGTATATCTTGGATTGCTTCTAGTTTGGCTTATAAAGTGTGTGGCCTCTTATATTGGGATGCTTCTCTGCCATGTTATTTTCAATAAGATTAACATGGCTGAAATTCTTCATATTACAAGACGGCACAGGCTTATTGCACATAAAACTAAAAAATCTGAAATATACAAATGTCATTCATGTACATTATGAATATACTTTTCCATATATTATTGCACAATGGTCTCCCAATTTCTTATTTTTGCCATTCTACTGACGCAATGAAACAGTGAAATGGACTCTACATGTAAATGAATCTAAAAGTTCACGTTTCAATGTACGTGAGTACCATGTTCATGTATAGAAGTCTAGATTCACATATTTAAGGTAGTTAATCATTCTATGAAATTTACAATGGTTCTAAATGCTATTTAATATAACCATTGTCACAGTCATATCGTGCTTTAACATTACTACGGTCATGACAAGCCTTGCAATATAGTATATCATTGTCACGATTATACCAGGCTTTCGCGATAACACTACCACGGCCATGGCAAGATCCTTGCGAAACTTAAAAACACTTAATAACCTGGTGACGGTTGTGCCAGGCATAAGTCTTGCAATAGATAGCATGTATGCTTCTCTGCCATAGTATTTTCAAAAAGATACTTTGTAACATGGCTGAAATCCATTATAAGAGGGCACAGGCTTATTGCACAAAACAGAACTAAATAATCTGAAATATACAAATGTCATTCATGTACAATATGAATATACTTTTCCAAATATTATTGCACAATGGTCTCCTGATTTCATATTTTTGGGGTTCTACTGACGAAATAAAACTGAAATGGGCTGTAGTTAACTTACATCTTAACTTATGTTTAAGCTTATCTCCAAAATGTGGAGTTGATCAGCCAGCCACTCAGCAAGCCCGCCATCCAGCCACCCAGCCACCCAGCAAGCCAGCCAGCAAGCCCGCCATCCAGCCACCCAGCAAGCCACTTACTCAGTCACTTAGTAAGTCACTCACTTCCTTAAAGTCATTCTCTCACTCTCATTCAGAAGTTCACTTACTCATTCACTCTCTCAATCAGTCTCTCTATGTGAGGGTTCATATGTTTGAATATTGACTAAAATAATCTTATTTCATTTGGAATTATTCACAATTGCTGTTTTCTACTTTTTGAGTTTAAAAAGGGAATGTAGTATATATCATTTAGTGTTTTAGAGATCTCTTAATTTCAACAAATGAATTTATTAATAGAGAAACATGTGAATCCATTGAGGATTGCATCAAAATACCAAACATACATACTCAAAAATAGCAAGAGCTGCTCAAATGTTTTAGATCTAAATCATGAACCCCATTTTGTACTTTCAGAAGATGAATTTATGTCTGAGATAAGAAGTTAAAGAAGAGGAAATGTACTATTATGTGAGTATTAAAAATATATCCATTCTGAATTTTCCTACATTTCCAAGAGTTTTCATAAGCAATGATTCTTATTAATCACAACCTTAATTCTATTGATTTAATGTACTCTTTGGGTGTGCCTTAGTCCTTAATGCGTCTCCCTATCTTTTGAATGTATTGTTAGAAAGATATTCTGTGTGCAATGATGATGTGGAAATGATGACTGCATAAGGTTGCATAGATTCTTGGGAAGATGTTCTCAGCCTGGCAACCTAACACTATTCAGTACATCTTTTGAAACTAAAAAAATTGAGGAAGCTGTAAATGTGATGTTGATTTTTTTTATTAATCAGATGGTTTCCATAAAGTCATGTTTTTTTAAGTCATGTTTTTAATTGATCTGCATTTGTAACCATTAATTAAAGACCAACAGTTTCTTCTTTTTAATGGCATATTTGAATTCTATATGTTGTTTTCTATCAATAGAGCTAGCTTCATTTACTTTTACTCAAATTCTAAAGATTTTTAAGTCTTCTGAAAAAGCTCAAGCTAAATCCCCATTTACACAATGTTGAAAAACCTTTAAAGATTAAAAATTCATTTACTCTTATAAGTGTCACAATTTTAATAATAAATTACAATCCATATGTCAATAGGTTCATATGATTAGATTCAACTGGCAGTGATCTCCCCAGCATAAAGCAAGATGGGCGCAGCAACCACCTGAGATTTTGAAAATATGCTTGCACCCACCTGAAAATCAGTCTGCACCCACCTAAAAATGAAAAAAATCATTGGCATATTTCCACAAATTTTTGTCTAATTTGTAAAAATGAGAGTTTTTGCACCCACCTGAGAAAAAATGCTGAGGAGATCACTTAATGGTGTTTTAAGTTGATCCAAATGGAAATCAAGAAATTAAGTGACTCTTGTAATACGTTTACATGTATTCTGGACCTACCAACACCCATGCTGCCATCTATATTTCAATTTATATTGAAAACACAGCTACAAGCCCTTATGAGCCCCCCCCCCCCCCTACTCCACATACATACCTCCCCACAATGTTTTGTTAAAGCACAGGGTACTTTTTACTGAGATTAATTATTCATTGGAGATGCAAATATACTCTAAGGCATTCAGTGATCTCCCCAGCATTATTTTTCAAGCGGGGGGGGAGGGTTATCAAGTGTTACTGAGTTTATTTATCAACTCACAAATTTGTGTAAAGGATGAGTCTAGATATATGCCCTTTTGGTCCCTCAGTTAAATGTATGTGATAGGTATATTTACTATTTAATGAGTATTAATGCAAAATAAACCCCCTGCTGAGAGTCAAAATAAGTAACAGAAAACAATCAATAATTATCATAGAAAAAACACCAATGGCAACCTGTATGGCATATAAAATAGAAATAACTTAAAGACCATGAAGAATTAAAAAGAAAATCTTTTTGTTTTAAATATATGTAAGGATTTAATTCTTTTTCAAATTTTTTGAATTTTCCGCCATTTTAATTTGAAGGGGGAAAAACAAGATAGCTGCCATTTGATGTAAGAAATATCAGAACAAAAGCAGCTTCACTTTCACAATGAGCAATGGCATTTTCACAATGAGCACAGTTTTCTGGTTTAGGTTTATGTTTAGACATATAACTCCCCTATCCATTCAATCCTCCTCTGTTCAATTTTGATTGTATTTTATATGAGTTTTACTTTAATAAACCAGCAATGACATTATTTTTGTGAGAATATAAGTTTTGTCAAAATAATCCCAAAATTGAGCTTTGTACAATTTAGAAGCATCAATAATGCCAACAAGTAATTTGAACATTCATGTCATTAAATTCTGTTCAATTTCCCTCTGATTTGTTGCCATGATGACATGTTATGACATCATCCTGAAACACTTAACCAGTCTTTACCAAAGCTTTTAAACACTTGTTGTTCAATCAGGATCAATTATTTTTCATTAGAGGTCCAAACAAGATGTATAATGTTTTATTTCCAGACTGCATCAAGAGAGATGATAGTGTATGGATCAGAGCTTGACTCTATAAGTGAGAATGGGTAGAGCTACTATCAGCAAGCACATCTAACACCAGAGGAGCCAACCTTGCCTCAAAGATAATTGCCAGGTATTTTACAAAGATCTGTTATCACTGGTGATCCACTCGGAACGTCAAAGGTACAATTTTTCTTTTTTCCTTAT